TCTCTCTCTCTCAAATCTCTCTCTCTCTAAATCTCTCTCTCTCTAAATCTCTCTCTCTCTCTCTCTAAATCTCTCTCTCTCTAAATCTCTCTCTCTCTGTCTCTCTCTCTCTCTCTCTCTCTGTCTCTCTCTTGGGCCTCTCTCTCTCTCTCTCTCTTGGGCCTCTCTCTCTCTCTCTCTTGGGCCTCTCACCTCCGCCTGTCCGCACGCCCTTTTGCTCTTGATGTCTTAAGCATGGTCTGCATGGGTTTTTTGATTCGTTGCGCCTCGAGCTTGAGCTCAAGCATGGTCCTGATCACGGTATGGCTGCCCCTCTTTTGCTGCCGACTCTTTCCACCAAGGAAACACGAAGTGTTCCATGAACAAGATTCCGAGCCACTGATTCATTCACCCGAGTGGTGAATCCTGATGGCTTTAGGCGTTGATATCACAACGGCCGTCATTGGCAGCACTGACACTGAGTCTGTCAAGCGCATCAGCAGAGGTGTTTTGGATGACTTTCACCGAGAATCCCCCGACGCCGTGGCTCAAGCCATCATCTCCGTCAGTCACTGCTCTTGTCCATACCACCCCGGGTCTCGCTTTCAACCCAAGGGAAGCCCCACGGACCACTCAACCCTCTGTCTTGCCCGCCTTGACCATCCAATGCATGTAGGGCGCTTTGCTGGGCCAACGCGAGGTCTACTATCCCTTGTGGGAAACAGTGCCCATCACCACCCTGCGCTTCTTCTCTCCCACGCTGGCCGACCGATTGGTTGCATACAACATGAAATATCGCGAAACACCGCTCGAGGTGTGAAACACGCTCACGTTCCACGGATGGATGCTCTTGCACTTGAAGAGTTAAGCCTGTACCAGAATTCAATTTACAATGCTTCTCTTTCAAAAGTGCTTGTGCATACAACAACGCCGCTTTTCAACGTTGCCATTGAGCTCTATGCGACCGGCCCAACAAAGGGAAAATCCCAACTGCTGTCCCATCAGATCTTGAGTCAATGCCAAGGCCAAAAATCAAACAACTAGTCAGACCAAAGTGCTAAATCTTTTCTAAAAAGTCCAGACCGTATTCAGCTGGCAGCTCCAACATTGGGAAACGCGGAGCGCAAGGTGAAAAAGGAAAGGTCACCGGGTAGATGTGCTTTGTATCCAGTAGCAGTTTGCCGTCGCCCTGGCCTTGTAGTTGACGATCGCTCACAGCCCGCAGTAGGCTTGCAGGCACTCGTTCCTCAAACTCCTCCGGTGAGTACATTTGCAGGATCTTTTGAATCTGAAGCGGGTTCAAATCGGTGCATGTTTCGAAAATTGTTTGCGCGTCCTCGGGCGCCGTCTTCTTGCATTGCAACAGCTGCGTCAGCTGCACGGACTCGGCCAGAACACTGCAAATTGACTCCATGCGATGCTCCCGGGCCCACTCCTCAATCTTGGTGATATTGTACCGAACTTGCATCCCCTTGGTCAAACGGGCTAGATCTTTACGCAGTAGCAACGTGTTGACCATGGTTGCATTCATGCCATAGTACAGTTGACGAAACACGCTCTGCACGAGCCGTGGCTCGACCTTTTGTGCCGTCAAAGCGTCATATACCGCCGTCAACTGCGCAAATATATCGCCAATGGTGACCGCGGGGCCACTGCGCTTCGAAGCCACAGCCCCACCCGCCCCTGGCAGCGAGTCAAACTCGAGCATACCAGGCACAGTTAAGGGCTGCAACTTGAGCTCCGCATGCTTGAGCACCGTGTGGTAGATCTGCACAAGTAAGTCGGACAGCACGCGACGATACTCCATCAGATCAAAGTTCTTCAGACTCATGGACGACGGATCATCGCGCGTCTGGAACTGAGGGTCCCCGCTAAACTGCTTCATGTTGGTCAGCAAACGATAGCCGTTGGCCAGCCAAAACGAGAGCATTTGCAAGTCGGTAGAATTTTGAGTGACCACCTGCTTGAGACCCCGCATCGTCTTGGTCAACAGACCCTGCAGCATGGGTGCGTTCACCTGATAGTCGGCAAACAGGACGCACATAAACAGCAGGTGGGCGGGCAGGTGGGCCTGCGGTGCTGCTTTGGCAGTTTCAGGGCGCATGCGCAGCACCAGAGCCGACACAATGCGTTGAATATCCTTCTCCTGAAACTTGAGCATGCCCAAATGAGTGGGAGCCGGCGGTGGAGTCTTGACGCCATCGGCACTGCCCGCGGCTGCCTGTGCACCACCACCGCCATGTGCTGGCCCAGATGACACCGTGCTGGATGCGTTGGTTGGTCGTGTTGTACCAGGAGCCCCGCTTTCTACGGCACGAAGGCGTGCCTCAAGCGTCTCAACTTGCTCGCGCATTGCAAGGTTCTCGTCAATGAGCACCCTGACCTCCTCTTGCAGCAAGTTACCATCAACCGCAGGGCCGGAGGTGGACGAGCTCAACTTCTTGGACAACGCCTGTTCCAATTTGTTCTTGTGATCAAGAATGGCTTGCTTCTCAGCATGAATATCCTCAAGGCTCTGCTTCAGGGAGGCTGCCTCATCCTGCATGTCCTGCAGCTGGCGCCGAGCGGCGTCTAATTCCTCTTGCAATTGGTGATTGCTCTCCTGCAGCTTGGTTTTTGCCTTGGCCAGATCTAGCATGTTTTCTTGGTTCATAAAAGTATCGTAGTCTTCCTGCAACTGCTGCAATTGGCGCTCCAGGGCGGCTGAGTGCGCTGAGGCTGCCTCGAGCTCGGCGCGCGGGACCATGGCCTCAAGCTGGACGCTGGCTGCCTGAAGGCGATCCTGCAATGATGTCACCTGTGAGCGCAACGCATCCGAGTCCACGTCGCCGCCCACCCGCTTCAATCGGGATTCCGCCGCAATCATGGCCTTCTCATACTCATTAGCCTTCTCCATCAGCTTTGTGTTGCCCAGCTGTAAGCGGGCGATGTTGGTGCGTGCATCGCGCAGCTCGCGCCGCAGGTCCTCACTCTCATCAACCTGCCCTTCTTGGTAACCATCGGACCCGGTACCTCCCTTGTCCGCAGCCTGCGCACTGTTCTCCTCGGTGAGTGCCGCACTGGAAGAAGGCACGGCCGAAACAAGCAGCTCTTTATTCTCGCGCTTGAGCTGATCCACCTGCGCCTGCGCGGCTGCAACCTGCGCCTGCCAATCCACAAGCTGCTTTTCCAAGCTCTCCGTTTTTTGCAAAAGCTCAGCATGGGCTGTGCGAAGTTGTTCAGTCTCCGCTGAATCGCCAGTTGACGGCTTGGCAGACCCTGTGTTTGCTTCCAAGGCCGCTTGAAGCTGGGCCACCTGAGCACGCAACTCGGCTTCAGTAGCTGCCTCCCCAGTTGCCTCGGAGGCATCCGGCGCAACCTCAATGTATTCACCCTGATCTCCAGGTTTGGCATCATCATCACTCCCGGCCAAAGCCAGGTCCGAGCCAGCATGCTGCACGCGGGCCGTGGACAACAGCTGGTCCTCTGCAGCCTTGAGCTGTTCCTCACTCTGAGCGAGGCGCTCCTCGAGCTCCATGCATGTCTGCAGCGTAGCGCAAAAAGTGAACTTGGCATGCCAGCTGATTTGAACCTTTACCTTTTTCTGCACATTGAATGCACTCACCTTAATTTTGTGCTGATGTGCTGCGCGTTCTTCCTGCAGCTCGGCGCGCAAGCCAGCCGCTTCTCGCCGCAGCTCATCCAGCTCGGTGGCTTGCGCTGCAACATTGCCGGCGCTTGCCTCCAACTCACCGAGCTTCTGGCGTGCTTCATTCAACTACAAGCATCGAGGGGACAATCGGCAGAGCCCGTGATGAGCACTGGGCGTGGCCGAGAAAGCCAACAACGATCTCATAGCATCACACACACACACACACACACACACACACACACACACACACACACACACACACACACACAAATATCGACAGACAAACAAAAGCAAGGTTCTGGCCCATACAAGCAAGCAAAACAAAAGCAAACGTCAACGCGAGTAAGCTTGCAACGGTCGTCATAGCACACCTCTTGTGTGAGCGTTTGAATTTGTGCCTCCAAGTTTGAGGTGTTTTGCAGAGTGTCGTTATTGGACCTGTCCAGTGCGTCACGAGCATCTGCAAGTGCCGATTCCAAATCCGCGTTTTGCTGCTGAAGGCGTTGCATATCGGCCTGTGATGTCTTGTTGCCTTCAGAGGCCTGTGCCTCGGCTGTCTCAAGCTGCGCGCGTAGCTTGGCAATCACGTCTTGCTACAAACACCGCACCAAAAGCGGGTCGTTTTTGATTCATTAGATCCCAATGGTATGTGACACCAATGTAACACAAACAGCGCCGCAGGACCGCCCAGCTGGGACAATTGGCCCCTGTCAAGGCCACGCACCTGCTCGTCGGTAACTTCTTTGATGCGACGGTCCATGGTTTGCTGCAGCTCAATAATTTTCTTCTCCAGGCCAGTATTCTTGGCCTTGATGCCGGCCACGCTTCGCGCCTCGGTCCGCAGACGTGAGAATTCACGTCGCGCCGTTCGACTACGCCAGCCACATTGCAGGGTCACGGCAGCTCGGCGCTGACGGAGAAAATCCTTGCGGCACAACCACATCCGAAAGCAGCTTTGAATACGAATGGCGCTCACGTCGCGACGACGCTCGTTGAGCATGCGACGACTTGCCAGACCTGCAAGAGCAAGGATGAGAAGTTGACAGGTCAAGACGCAGCAAGGGAGACACCACGCAAAGCCGGTAGCTAAGCTGAAGATTTGGCAACTAACCCCGCGCAAAGCACTGCAGAGTAATGATGGCACGCCGTGTTTTTGCATAGGTTTGACGCGCCGACCACCCGCGAAGATGGCGCTGCAAAGTAATAGCGGCTGCAGTCTGGCGAAGCCGCAAAGCCACAGCCCGAGCCAGCAGACCACGCCCAAAGGCTTGCAGCGCAACGGCCGCCGTGCGCACGCGCTGGTATCGTCGCCGTTGCAAAAAGCCTCGAATGGTGCTCTGGATCAGAATCATGGCACGTCGCATCTTCTCCGAGCGCAGCTTCTCGAGGTAAGCCACCTGTCCTGCACGGAAAAACAGCTTTGTTTTGCCAAACTGATACTTGTCCGTATCCTGCAAACACAATTGGAATTACCATGAGGCACAACTTGTGGCCATGACTTGACAAGCATGAACTTTTCTCCAAGAAAAGAGAAAAAAAAAAAAAAAAGAAAGAAAGAAAAAGAAAGCAGGGGAGATGGGGTCCCGGAAGAAAAGGATGATGGAACTAGCGAAAGAAGCAGAAGAGCTGGTCGTCGAACCTCGATCAAGGGCTCAAGAATGGACTTGCACTGCTCGCGTGGTTCTGTGGAGACGGGTGGGCCAGACTGCAGCAGTGCATAGCGGCTACAAAAGTCTGGATATGACCAACGCGAGGGGTAGCCTGCTGCTGAAATGCGAATGGTCTCCAGAACACCGCAGGCTCGAAGCTGCTGCACCACGCGTGGAGTATCAAAAGCGAAGGCTTGCTTGGCATCGTTCGGCTTGATGCAGCGAATGTAGTGGGGGTCCGTGGCATTGAGTGTTTCCATCAACGAGCTGCACGACAAGGGAGCAGGGCCACCACAACAAACGCAAGGCATCAGGCTCAACGCGCGGAGAGGGAAACGGGTGAGTTCGCCTGGCTGCAAACGAGGCGCAACCTACTCGAGGGAAAGCTTGAACTGGCTGCCCACGGTCATTTTCTTGATGTCGACCTTGCGACCCTTGCCCTCGGCAAAGAGCTCCTGCACCATCTCCAGCTTGCTTTCACGAAGCATGATCAGATGCTCCTCAAAAATGGTGTCCTGCATGGGGATGCCGGTATGACGCGATGCGCGCGTTTGGGTGGTCAGCTGGCGGAGCGACGTAGAGGCCAGATGGATGCATCTGTGTAAAACCTAAAGCAAAAGCTGCTCCAAGACCACGCACCTTGTTCTTCTCTGTGAAGCCATTGCAAGTGTATTCGACCAAGTCGGCGTAGTGCTTGACAAGGAAAGTCTCGTTTCCCATGCGTGGCTTGCGAAAGTGCTCACGCTCGGTCAAGCGATCATACATTTTCAAAGCCCAATTTTGATCGCTGCCCTTGGGCAGCTTGGTCTCCTCATCCAAAAGCGATAGAACGCCAAACTTGTCTTCGAGCAAATCGATGCAGGGTTGATTGTCGTAGAAATCAATGAAAGACCATGTGATAGCCTCGCGCACGTATTCATCTGCACACGTGTGGCAATGGCGCGTGAGTGGACCGTCGAGACTAGCACGCCAAGCTTTGCAAGAGTCGGGCAAAGAGAAGTGGTCGTTGTCGTTGAACCTTGTTCAAGCTTGAAGACGTGAAGATTAAATTGCTGTTGCAGCTTCTCGTTGGCCCAATTGATGCAGAACTGCTCAAAGCTGCAATGGCGAATGACCATGCAACGAAACGTAGGCAGCGCACGAGAAGGGTATGCATCTTAGTCAAAAGTTACGGCATTGGAAGCGAGCAAGCAAGGACAGGTCATCGTGTGCTGCATGGTGCACGGACCTGTTAACTTTAAAGGTTTCAAACCTGAAGCAAAGGGCAAGCCAAAATGACAAGCAAGCGCGTGAGTATACAAGCGTTGAATGTGTGCGAGCAAAACGGGGCCATCAACTCACCCATAAATGTCCAAAACACCAATGCAACGGCGTTGACGAGTCTGGTGCGCTGGAGCAAGCGACTAGAGGGCATTGCAAGCCCGCCAAGGCATTTCAACAACAATGTTGAGAGCGATCGTCGGTATGCACTGTGACTTTGCCCGTTGCAACAGTCGTACCAGCCGTAGCAATTGCAACAATCGCAGGCGAACATACCTCATTGATCCGCGCGACCACCCAATCAAAGATGTGAGCATAAATGTGCTTGGCCAAGGCATCACGGGCACCTTGTGCCTGGTCCACTGTCTGGGCTTTGATAAACACCTCCCGACCGGTCTGAATCTTGCGGTTGGTGATCCACTTGGCCAGCTGCTTCTCATCCACGCCCAGCAAACGCGCCGCCACTGCATGACGCCCAGGCAAGAAGCAGCGGGTGCCACGAATGCATCGGTCAGTACTCTGGCAAAGCTGGCCGTTGCCAACTGCTGCACATACACCGCAGATGTAGCTGACCTGGTAGATGCGTGTCAGTTTCTGGAATGTCGGCATCTTCACGCCGGCGCGAACGCTGCCGAACCTCCATATTGCCCATGTGCAAGATGGCAGCCAGCACAGAAAAAAGCTACCAAATGCAGGTGTCCCGGTACGATGGAGTCGGCCTGCTGGTGAGACCCATGCCACGGCCAGCAAGGAAAGAACAGGAATCGGAGGCACACGTCTAAGGCGCCCCAAACATACCTCCAGTTGCATCTGATCCGACACGCCGAGCAACGAGAGAGCTTGTTTGGTCTTGCCAAAGTCGGCAAAGTAATCGACGCCATCGGGAGGTCCAACCCCGCCTGTGGTCAGGACGCCAGAGCATGAGTGCAAAAGCACAAATCTTTTACGCTTATGCTGGGAATGCACAGCTTGGGTCTGGAACCACAACGCTGCAACGTCAGAGGTGTTGGCAGGTGTGGCCCGCCGACGCATGTGCAAGCCTACCTTGATTGGCAAAGATGAACTCGTCGGCTTCAGTGAGTTCAAGCGCCTCCAGCTCAGGTTCGTTGGCAGCGGCACAGAGTTGATAGAAAATGTGGTAGTTGAGCTCCGTCTCGGCTTGGTACACGACGCGCGATTTTTCCAAAAGGTAGGTGCGCATTTCAGCGCCAATGATTTGGTTGTGTTGATCAAAGAGAATTTCAATGTATTTGCCGAAGCGGCTCGAATTATCGTTGCGGGTAGTTTTGGCATTACCAATACTCTCCATGACGGGGTTGCTAGCCAAGACCTTGCGTTCGATCTGCGTTTCGGCTTGGGCACCACCGACCGTGGCAAAGTAGCGCATGGCAAATTTGGCGCTCACAGTCTTGCCGGCACCAGATTCACCACTGACAATGATGCTCTGGTTCTTGTTTTCTCGAGCCAGGCAACTGAAGGCATCTTCAGCCACAGCAAAGATGTGAGGGTCAAGCTCGCCCATGGCTCGGCCCGAGTAGGCATGAATCATCTCGGTTGAGTACAGTGGCACATCCGCATATGGGTTGATTGCCACGAGCACAATGCCACAGTAGGTGTAGATCATGTTGCGCTCGACAAAGCGCGCATGTAGATTATGAAGCACTGCCGTCCGTTCCGGTGTTGCACCAGACCAAGCAGAGCACAAATTGCAGGTGTTAATGTAAGGGCCAAGAGAATTGGCACACGCTCATTGAGCCCCGAGCAAGCAGTGCACACGACGCACCGGCTGGTTCGTGAAGGTAGGAGAGATCTGTTAAATCAGCGGCACCCACCAACACCTCAGGGTTGCGAAGTGGCGGTAGGCTGGCGACATCATCGGGTTTGAAGGCCAACTCGAGAGACTGCGGCAGGAAAACAGCGATGGGTCCGGGGGTGAGGCGATGCATGGCAAGCAAAATTTGGCTGCACCAAACAGATGGGTGGATGCGGAGCATGTCTCAGTGCTGTGGATCAGAGAGGCACAGAAACGATGAAAGAAACAATGAAGCAAAGGCAAGATCAACCTGTCCAGCATCGGTTTGCAGCACAATCTGATTGTCTTCGGCCTTGAGCTCGACGACCGTGGCGGGCAACCAGAGTGCCGCCTTGTCCCGGGCCCACACGCGCGTGCCCTAGAGTGCATGAACACACATTCGTTTGGTTAAAGGGCGAGGGGCCGGTGGGACAAATCAGGTTGCATGGTTTGCAATTGGCAGTTGCAACGTCAGGCGGCTGGCTGTTTGCTAGAGAAGTGAAGCGTACCGCGGTATACATGTCGATGGCTGCCATGATAGCCGGTGTCCAGAACGAGACAGCGCAACAGAGCAAGTTGATGCGCAATTGATGACAAGATTGATGCCAACGCCCAATCCCACACGCAGTAGATTGGATGGCGCCGCGACCAGACCGCTCCGTAAGGAGCCTGCTCCTGCGCGCTGGCAGAGCGCGGAGAGGGACCCACTGGAGGCAGAAGGCCCAGTGTCGGCAGCTTGCACAGACACGGCTGACCTGCACAAGTGACAGAGATCAGGCAAGACACACGTCAGGAGAGGCCGGTGCCAGTACATGAACTTGATCAAATGCAGAACGACGTGGTCCGATGGTTTGGAATGGAGAGGGAAAGAGCAGACTGATGAACGGTTGAACGGGAACGGGCTCAGGAGCAGAGGAGCCTGCTCCCAGAACAGGATGAAAACAGACGCAGTGGAAGAAAGAAAAGACAGCAAGAAACGGATCCTCTCGCATCCTCGGAGAGCAAGCCCACTGGGTTCCCAGGCGACACCAGAATTGGACAAGCACCATCGCTCCCAATCACGCCCGATTGCCACACCAAGCCACTGCTTGCAATAGCGACAAGCGGTCGAGGAGGCAGGCAGCACGGGAGGCCCGCACCGCCACAGAGCCACGAGCCAACCGGGAGACGGCAGCTTACCCAAAGTCCCGTAAAATTCACACTTTCATCCATGGAACCCGCCTAAAGTCGTATCAAGTCTGGTTGGCTTGTGAGTGAGACCATTGTCACACTTATTAAGTATTGAAGTGTAGATTAGTGTGATTCAAACCCGTAGCTGAGTATTGGTGGCCGTTTTTTTTTTTTTTTGCTTTGTGAGAGTTGTGTGTGTGTGTGTCTCTCTCTCTCTCTCTCTCTGTCTCTCTCTCTCTGTCTCTCTCTCTCTCTCTCTCTCTCTCTCTCTCTCTCTCTCTCTCTGTGGTAGTTGTGCTTTTCCTTTGTGTCTTTGCTCTTTACTTCTCTCTTTCTCAAACCGACCAAACCAATTCATCTCTCTCTCTCTCTCTCTCTCTGTCTCTCTCTCTCTCTCTCTCTCTGTCTCTCTCTCTCTCTCTCTCTCTCAACTCCCTCTCTCTCTCTCTCTCTCTCAACTCCCTCTCTCTCTCTCTGTGCGCTCAGTCACACTCTCTGAATAAAAAAAGCATTTGGACGGGTCACTCCTACAGACGTCCTTCCTATAGCATATAGAGCGGCAGGCGCGCAGCGAGTGGATCTTCAGCGCCTGGGGGCGGCTGGTGATGCGCTGATTGAGCTGTCAGTGTGAGTGTCACGGGTGTTCTTGAGGCCATAGTTGATGGGTTTCCTCCTTGTAGGCCGCCTGGTGTCGACAACTGAGTCCTGACCCCGGTTGCAGCGCTCGAGCTGTTGGTGTCAGCCTCTGGGCGAATGATTGTCGAGCTGTCGACCGGGGTGGTGCATTGCCAGCCATGACTCGCAAAAATGCAACGTCCAACCGCCCTGAAGCTGAGGAAACACTTGAGGAGCAGCAGTTTGCCGTCGGAGCCTACGTCATTGCTTTGGATCAAGCCGGGAAATGGTGCGCCGCCTTCCCGCCTGCTAGCTCAGCTGCGAGCATGCTGCGAGCCATCACACCTGTCGCTGGCCCTGGCTCACCAATGATGACCACTTGCACCTTGCATGTGCCCAGGTGTTCTGGCAGCATCATTGACATTGACGAGGCGCGGCAGCGATGCATGGTGCATTTTATCAACTGGTCACGGTAGGTGGACCCTGGCCTCGGAATGAGCTGGCCCATCCTTTTTCACTCAGCTTGGCTAGCGTACGAGAGAAACTCATTCGTGCAGAGCTTGCAAAAGCCAGAGCTTTCCACCCCACGCCTCATGAGCCTCAAAGGTGCTCATCCAACACTTGCTGCATGGGGCTTGCCTACCAGATCCTTTGATCAGTGGTACGACCGACGATCGGAAGATTTGCACCTCCTCAAGTACAAACCCGAGGTGAGCACTCCTTCAGCATGGTGCATGTTGACAAGCACATGTTTTCCTGTCGCTCTGGCACCGGCTCTTCCTCCGCAACGTATTGTGCTTTTGATTTGACCACATGAGTACCGCTGCCGTCGGACACAAATTGTGCCCCTGAAATAATACCTGCCACTCACACTCATCCCCGCTGCCACGCTGACCTGCAGGATACATGCTATCTGTGCGGCGAGCCTGGACGTCTCAACAAGTTTTGCCTCTGCTGCCCCACTGCTGTCCATGCCTGTGCGTCCCTGTCTGTCGCCCCCACCGTTACCCACCCCCATAAACATAGCATGAAGGCAGCCTGTCCGCAGCTGGAGCGTATTCTGACTTTGCCCCACTTTCGCCCCCTGCCGGCTTTTTTTCTTCTTCTTCTTCTTCTTCTTCTTGTCTTTGTTCTATTACGATGGGCTCCTTTGCCAGCATGTCTTGCTAAAGTGTGCAAACCAAACCCGAGCAAGCCCCACCTAATATGTGGTGTCCGAGCGGGTTGCCGCGAGCGCTCCAAGGTGCGGTAAAAGCAGGCCGCATCAGACACTTGTAACCTTGCCACATCTCTCATCCCACACTGAACGGTTTTACGCTTCAGTTTGAGGGACAACTCTTTGGCATCAAGCGACTTGCTGTGCCGCGCGGAAAGCGGCCCGCATCTGACGCGGGATCGAGCACTCACGAGAAGCAAGCCTCCTCGCCACCAGCCAAGCGCTCTCTGGGAACTGCCACGCGCCGAAACGAGTACCACTCGCCCAGCTCCACGCAGCCCTCCAGTCCACTAGCTCCCTTGCCAGATGACCTGGAAACAGACACCGTCGAGGGGTTTGATCTGTCCTTCTCCGCGCATCCTCTTCCCGCACCTAGCCGTGGCGCTGAGGCACTGCACGAGGAACCCGGTTCCATGGCCCGGTCACTGCACAATAACACTGTTGTTGCTGTGCCCGACCTGGGGTACGCCATCTTCCAGTCCTGCGACATCCCCTTTGAAATGGCAACAAGGCTTAAACAGGCACCCGTGTCACCAGCTTCCTCGCCATCACTGGCCTTCTGCGCGTTGACGCTGACCCCTGCTTCATCTTGTCTCGAGGTACATTTTGTCCGTACCTTGACGTTCTAGTGGTGTAGACATGGTGCTGACGTGGCGTGCCCTCAGACTTGCCGATATTTTTGGCGCCAGGTAAATCTAACTTACGCCAAATATGAACGTCATCTAAATTAGGAGGCCCGCTATGAGGGCGCGCAAGAACGAAGCCGTGAGCTCAGAGGATGGCGCCGCCCGCACATTCCTCTTAGTCGAATCGAAGAGCTAGCTCATGCTGTCAGTTGCACTTTGCACGGCGTGCAAGCTTGCGCATTCTTAGAAACTTGAGAGTTGGTAATGTGCATTGATGTTTCTTGCCGGCCGTGCCCGATAGGCTGTGCTGCTACCACGGCCTCAAGTCGAGAATTTAGCAAAAGGCTTTCGGTCCTGGCTCCACGGGCGACATGCAGGTCATGTCAAGAAGGTAAATTGCCTTCAATCAGTGTGCAGCTGCATACGACCCAAAAGATGCCGGCGTGATGTAGCGTGGTCCTTCTTACGCGCCGTGTGTTCGTTGGCGCCCATGGCATGCTACCAGCTCTGGAATCACGTCCAGTTGCTGCCGCCCCGACTGCTGGAAGTGTTATTACATCTCTATTTTCATGGCTTTGACTGGCGCATGATGACTTTAAACAACTTGGCTCGGGCATTATCTACTATTCCACCCGTCAATGAACCCTTTGACTTGAGCTCGGTAACTTTCTGGGACGATGAGTTTACCAACAACGGCTCGGAAATTCTGTTGATCAAGGATTGTGACTCGAATGAAGACTGCACTCTCCTTGAGCCATTTAATCCCTTCAGTCATGAGATTCTGGAAGAGCCGGGCTCCTCGGAGGACGAACTTCCCCTTGAGACAACGCTGACCCCTGAGGTAGAACAGCCCACCAGCCGTGAACTGAAGAACGTAAGACTCTCGCTTGATCCTAAAGCTTGAGAGATATGATTGGATAGCCCCTGCGTGATGTCTCAACACCGAGCCCCTTGATTTACACCTTGACCTTGCATCTTGCAAATGTAGCTGGGTGGGGCTATGCTCAGCAGTACCTCGAGTCAATTTCTCACCGTCAACGGATTTCTTCAATGCGACGCCATCGGGTCAACCCTCCTCAATCCACGCGACGGCCGCGTGATGAAACCAGACCCCCTGTTGAACGAAACCTTGGTATGCTTCTGGCCCTGGATCGTCACCGCATCATATTTCCTTGCCTTAACAACCGCTCATACCCATTGACCTTTTTCTTTTCCAGACTGGCCCGCCCACAAAGGCTGACGCCGGTCTGGACGACGTTGTTGGCAAGCGCCTCTTCAAGCACTTTACCGGCTACGGCATGTGTCTGGGCACGGTGGACCGTGTCGTGGATCGGCGCAAGAATCTGTTGCGCGTAAGCCTCCCAGCCCTTCTGGCCACCTATTGTTGTCCAAGTCATGCATGAAATTGACTGCACGCTTGCTCTGCGCCTTTAGATTGAGTATGATGACGGCGACTCGGATGACATGTCCTTGTTCAACTGCCGGCCGCTCATCATGAAGTTTGAGGTTAGTTCACAGCCTAGAGAATGTTCGCATCGTACTGGCCTGGCCCTTCAGTTCGAAAGCACTGAAAAGGCGTTGAGGCAGGATGGTATCTGGAAGCAAAAGCTGTGACGGTCGTCCTTTGTGCGCTTTCCTGATGGGCATGTTTTGACCCGGATACGTAGGCCGCCGTCCGACGAAACCGTAATCATCGATCGCGCGGCAATCTGAGCGACGATGTTGCCCCACTTCGATCGCGCAGTCATGACCGCGGCGCCACCGTGCGACGCCACAGCAGCAGCAGCAGCAGTAGCGGAGCGTGGCGGCACAAGTCGCGACACGCACCACAGACTCTTTTAAACCTGTCCGCTGGTGCCAAATCTGGCAAAGCGGGCAGAACTTCGCTTCCATCCCGCAGCAAGACCTCAGCTTCTTCCCCATCCTCGACCTCCCCTTTGCAGGCCACCAACTCTGTTCCAAGCTCATTGGACCCGACCCTTCAGGAGGGATCAACTGTCGGGGCTCGCCCCCGGTCCTTGGCCACATCCCGAAAGGGTGACAAGGGACCCTTATTGCGGATCAAACTGACAGGGGCAGCTGAAGCCGCAGCCATGCCAACCAGTGCAACGGTCAATGCCCAGCGTAGTACCCCCGCACAGCAACACATCGCTGCTGAGCAGACTGCCCAGGCTTCAACCTCGGAGCCTGCGCTGGATGGTCCGGCTGCCAAATATCGCGGCAGAAGAACGGCATCCTCATCTGGTCGCGCTGCGGAAACTCAACGTGCAAGCACACAACAGCGGTTGACCGTCACACTCGGCAGCGGGCCGGATCCAAGCTGCTTACAACAAGGCAATGCTTCACGGTCCTCGACCACTTCGATGCATTCGGAAGCACAGGCAGCAGCTAGGGACCAGGATCCTCCGCCAATTCACCATGACGTTTGGGAACAGAATAAACAACTTCAGGCCGAAAACGCCCGGCTTAAAACTGAATGTGCCAAGTTGCGACAGCGATTGGACCAGTACGCTGCACAGGCCGAGACCTCGCGCCGTGCCGTGACATTGCTATTTGAGGCTGTCCATGCCGATATCGAGGATGCTTCGTGAATCCTGTAGCTTGATGAAAGTGTGTCGGCAGGACGCGATGTGGTCTGGCCAGTCACTCTCTCTATTAACTATCTCGTTCGTCTTGTCACGTGCTTTAACACGGATCAAATTCATTTTCACAAGATTGTTGGCCGAGTGCTCAATTTGAAAATCTTTTCCTTCTGACAGGGAATTCAAAGGAGTTTGAACATGCTTGATTTTGTTAATTCTGGGGTCACTCAAGTCCAACTCATCAGTAAGTCTGTATGCTAGAGCGCTTATAGAGAAGCTTGATATGGACGCGTACGTTGATGAGTGCTGACGGTACTCTCCTGCCCTGCACTGTTAAAATTTGAGAAGGGCATCTATAGCCTCCAACCATCATCAGGATTAATAGCTTTTACATGTTAATAAATAATTTGTGTTGATTACAACCATTCGTATCAATTTCCACGTTTCCAAACGGTTGCTGTCTTCCTCCCACATCCAGAAAATCCGAATGTACACCTTTTATTGGGGAGCGATAGACGACAATGACACGATGCTGCCTGGCTGGATTCATACATGGCACTTCAAGCCACTCGACTTCAAAAGCTGTTATGTAGGGCACAGGTTTTGATGCTTCTCAAGACCCTCAATTCAAATCAATTCGGGGTCAATTCGCCTCGGGCAAACGCTTCAACCTCGTCCCTTGTCGGAATGTGTCCACTGGAACTCAGAGTCTGATTTGAATAACGGCCAAGACACAGCAGATGTCGCTGCCAGTCATTGATATGCTCTGCCATGCCGCGCAGCGGCATGGATGCTCGAGAGAAAACTACAAATAACTGCACAGGCGAGACACAAGCGGTAGACGCATGTGTCTAGCGACTTTGCAGTTCCAAAATTACAGCCATTCCTTATTCGTCATCAGACGAGACGTAATCGGGTAAAACAGCCAGCAAGTCTTCGTCCTCATCATCAGGCAGGCGGGATGCCATTGTTGTGTTGAGATCTACTAGCATCTCGCCTTCGTCCGGGGTATTAGCATCTAATCGTGGCATTTCATCACCCACAGCAGCTGCCATGGCTCTATCCAAAGGTCCTTGGTAAGCTGCCAGCTCATGCAATCCCTCCCAAGGTCTGGCATCAGGTGCATTTGTCGAGCTGCCCGGCTCGCTAGTAGGTGCATGCAGCTCTCTAAGTAACTCCAGTTCCTCCAGGGGCGTGCGCAAGTGGAGCTCTTTTTCCTGCAGAATGTCCAGTAGGTCCTCGAGCTGCCGGGGGTTGTGGCGCGCCGCGTCCAAGTACAACAGCTTAGCTCCCGGGCAAGCCTGGGGGCGAAGGCATCACACATACGTCAGGCTGAATCAAATCCCATGCAGAAAGGGGGCATGACCTGTTTGCCCTAAAATCAATCAAAGTCAAAACTGGGAGCAAACGGCGCAGGTTGCAGGCGTGAGCACGAACTTGGACAGCCTGATAAAAGGTATCCAAAGAAAGCTGCAAGCCCTCCAATCCTCGCTGTGATCGCGTAGTGTCCATATACATGCGCCAAATTAGCACGCAGTGCCGGGCCTGAAGTCACGGTATTTGCAGACAAGAGTGAGCCTGATCACCCCAGAAAACGTGCGAGCCAGTCGAAGAGAGCTTGCACGCACTCGGGTGTTCACGGCTCGTTCCAACAGCCTCAGCAAACGAGAACCGGAAGCGCTAGCAGATGCATCAGTTTGCAGGCACAGAGTGAGGGTACGTAGGCAAAAAATGATGCTCGTACATCTCCAAAGCAGCCCCTTACCGAGATGGGGGTAGCAACACCTCTGCTGCCACAGAAAAGAGCCAGAAAACGGGTTCATGTTGCAGCACATCATGATGTTGATATGTAGTCAGCTGATCCCGTAGGCGGCCCACTGTGTGCGTTCTTACAAAAGTAACGGAAAAAAAAAATAGAGAGAGAAAAGAAATTATGTGGGCAGGCAGTACCAAAGCGGCACGGTGTGAGCGCAGTTGACGATGCTGTCTTGCAGGAGGTCCGCCACTTACTGCTGTTCAGTTAGCATCAAGTAGCCTAAAAACTCAGGGTTGAGTGGGAAAGCGGCTAGGGCTTCGCTCAAGCACTGGCGCACAATCCTCAGCGGCACAGCCAGGGGTCGGATTTCATTGGCCACGTGCGCCAGACTGCAGGATTTGGCAATGAGAACCCCAATCAATGTAGCGCAAACAGAGGACAACAACATCAGACACAAGCGAGGTATGGCTGGCACAAACCGTAGGCGAAGCGTGAAGAAGCGCTCAAGTTGGAATGCAATGGCATAGTCACGGGGTGACTCTTGATGCCCCACTCGCGGGGGCTCTGGAAACGCGCGTCCAGCTAGACCACAAACATTCTCCCATAAGGACGGATGGCGAAAGCCCATCCGCGGCCCGAAACAATGAAAGGTGTCCGAACCTTGTTGAGCAAGCTCAGGAAAAACACTGGGGCGTCCCTCGCTCAACCAAGTGAAAAATCCCAGCAGCAAAAGGCGGGTGGTTGTCGCGCGTGCCTGTGCTGGATCACGAACACCTGTGATATCCATGATGGGGTGTCAACAGGTTCAGGTGTTAGCGTTTGCGTCAGCACGCGCAAGCTGTAGAAGGATTGACGAGCAGGCTTGTTCTGGACGTGACACGCAGTGTTTCATACGTTGTCGCAAGGTATCTTCCCGCGCATCTTGAGCCGGTCCCTGCAGCTTTGCAAGGCGCGTCGGCGAAATCGCTTGGCCGACAAGTTCTGGATCGTTTCCGACAAAAGCTGCCAGGACGGATAGCGCCAGACTCTAAGGGTTGGCAGAGTGATGTAACTTATCAATCGTCGCTCAACCCAAGGAGGCTTTCGAGACATGAACGCCATTCCGAAAAGCATTCAGGTGCGTAGGAAACGGCAAAAAAAAAAAAAAAAAAACATCACGAGCAACGAAGTAAAATCCAACCTCAGCACGATGTTCGTAATGATGAATGGCCAATTGCAAGGCCAGTTCAGCAAACTGCGCCGAGTCTCCAACGTTGAAGGCTGTGCGCATGGCCGTCAACAGCACCTAAAGCAAGCGATTCAAATGATGATCAACTGCCAAAATACCACCGACGTCCCACTTGAAGCGTTCATTGGATTCTTTTCGTGGCTTCTTGCTTGGTGTTCTTCAACTTTGGCTGGTACAAGAGAGTCAACGGGATACGGGGAGCCGCGAGGTGTTGCGCTTGACCAAGCTCACCTTTTCTCCTTCGACTTGACGCCCGGTTTCAAATTCCAACTCGGCATATTTTGCAAACAGGCGATAGGACATGCGATTGGCTTCGAGCTAATTGACAAGAGCAAACGAGCAAAAACCGTTGGGTGACTCTCGTCGGCGCTGCTGGCATCTGGTCAAACAACGGTCAGTCGAATGCAAACCTTCATAATTCCCTTGGCAAGTTTGCGGGCGGCCTTTGGTCCATCGCAAGCACCACAGTCGATCAGGGCATCTTGGAGATCAAAATTTGTGGGGTCACGGGCCAGACATTGTTCCAGAATGAGCCTGAAAGTCCGACAACACAATTAGTTGTTCGAAAGAGGAAGGCCAGGGTGAGCAAGCAGGCAGATGAGTCAAGAGTGCATAGTTTGAATGTCAGGTGCCGGGTTTTCAGGTTAGTTTGCCAATCCCTTGACCAACACGTTTGCGCATCCCCCACCAGGATACGTTTATGCATACCGTATGGCTTTGAGTTGAGCTGGTGCAATTTGCATCCGCTTGGGAAGCCAGCCATGGCGGCCGAGGCTCAGCAATGGGGCTCGCCACGTGTCCGAGGCTATTTCAGCACAGCCAGTGACATGCATGAGCGTCACAACGTTGAGCCTATGGTTCAGGGCCAAGGCATAACAATACATGGCACACCTGGCGCATCACGGCTGTGCAAGCTACCCCAGGCATCTGTGTTGTCACCGATGACCAGACCACTGACTTGACCCGCATTGGGACGATCGGACCGAAGAACGGCGGCATCGATGAGAGTGTCACTGGCCACGGCACCAATCGGAAGCTTCGCCGCCCACGTATTGGCAGCCTCGCGTTGTTGATCAAAGCGAGCCCGAACGTGATAGACGAGGGTATCAAACAGGCCATCTGCGCGCTGGAGGCGCCGTGCCATATCAGCCACAGCAAAGTCAGAGCTGGTCGTGCGAGCACGCGTCGATAGCCCTAGTTGATACACAAAATGCAGTATCATGTCCACCTGCAGCACCATATTCGTCAGACAGATGAGGGCTCAGGTGCCTCCCTGTTCTGTGAGGCAAAAGAAAAAAAGCAGAAGGGAAGAAAAAGAAGGACCGAATCAGAAGAAGGATGGTAAGAGCCACCAGGGTATCACCTGCAATGTGGGATCTGAAAGGCGAAACAACAAGCTGGAAATGTCGTCATAGACCACGATGCGGTCGGGATCCTCGCAGTCTTCCTCCGTTTCTTGACCTGGAAGTGGCCTGCAATTTTAGAAAGCACGCCAGTGCCATAAGCCCGCGGCTTCAAATTCACGGCTGGCACCTGTCTCGGGGATACGATTGCGGGCCTCGGGCTAGCTATGTAGATGTGCAAAGGCGGGTTGTACCAACCTCCAGGGCTTCCAATGTGTAAGATCCCGAAACTGCTCCACTTCAAGCCAGTTCTGCCATGTCGTGATGCCCGACAAGCCTACATTGGTTGAGAAGTATGAGTGGCTCTCTTCCAAGGGTGGATGCAAGGCTGGCAGCTGGCACGAACCGTCTGGTGCATCTGGCGGATGTTCAGCTTGGTACTTGGGCTCAGCTTGTCCAAACTGCTTGAGCTCTGTCCAGCGTGCAAACCCCACAAAGTCCTCGTCGCCCAGGCGAGGCAAAGGACTTTCCCAATAGCCCTCAAAGAAGGCCAATGGCTCGCCCCGCAATCGCTTGGCCTTGAGGAGGGCTTCAGGCATGAACACGTTGAGGTCAAGTAGAGCTTGGAAAGCAGCAACAGCTCGCTCTTGATAGCCCGCCTGATTCAAGAAAAGTGCACATGCCTCGTTACTGCTCCGTGAAAGGCCAATATGGACACTGCAACCACGACGCTTAAAGCACGCATACCTTGACCTGGACGTCACAGGCATCGAGAAACACTTGCATCAAAGCAAGCTGGCCCTGCTCGGGGTCTAAGCGGTCTGCCGATGAGAACCCCTGGTGCTATCGAATCATCAATGCATCAAGAAATGGCAAGGGTTAGAGGACCAAAGTCGAAAGAGTCTAAGATATGGCACCAGCGCTTGTCGGGACTCAAGGGCATGTATATTTGCGGCACCAAATAACCAACCATTTGGAGCGTCAACGTTTCGATGGCATCTTGAAAGGTATTGGTGGCAGATGAGAGCTTGAAGCGGCCCAGATGACTGGTGGCATGATGTAAATAGCGCTGCCACAGGATGCGACTGCCGGCATGGGTGGTCATGACTCGACTCCACGTAGCCTCCAATGCCTCCTTCTCATATGACGCGATTTGTCATGAGCAATCACGTCCGGTGGGGAGGGAAAGCGAGAAAGAACCGTAAACAAAAAAACAAAACAAAACAAAAAAACAAAACAAAACAAAAAGGCGGTTCGAGCCGAGAAGGTCGTAAACCAACCGGGCTTAAGCGGCGGCCGCAGAGCTCCATCCATTCGGCCACAAGGTCCTATGCAGAAACACGACAAAATGGAAGGGTATAGGGGGGCATGGGACCAGTGGGTAAATGGTTGCATGGGAGGGTGGGCGAGCAACAGTGACTGGTGCGGCCAGGCGGCGGTACCTCTGCATGAGGATTTTCCCGAACTGCCTCCTCATATAGGTTCATCTGCCGATCCATGAGCATGGCCTCGCGGCGCTTGGAGCCACCACCTGTGCGATGAAACAGCTCGCTCTGTGAAAGCCAACAAGAAGGAAAGGTGAGTGCTACCAACTGAGCCAGACAGAGCAAGGAGGGGCAAGAGCAGCGAGCCTTGCGCACCTGAAAACGAATGAATTCGCGCCACAGATTGAGGTCATGTGGCGTTTCGCGAAGGCGTCGGTTGTAATTGGCTGTGCGCTCGCGCATCTCAATCTCCACGGTCACGGCCTGTTCTTGTGCGGTTTGTTCCCGGGTGGCAGCCGTGCGTGGTACTTCTTCCAGGTGTCCGCGAGTGACAGGAGGGGCTGTCAGGTTGGGCGTGTCAAAGATCGAGGCAATTGCCGCTGCCGGAACAAACGAGGCGAGATTGCTTGGCAATGAGTGTGGGTAGCCATGTAGCCTGTGAATCCGACAATTCATCCAAGCAAGAAGCACCAACGTGTTTGTCGACGCTCAGCAGCTTCAGCAGCAGCAGATGTGCCGGCATGTTCTACCGGCACCATTGCTTGGGTCGATCCATTTGCCTGTGCCTCCAAGGGTAGAAATATGCGACCAACCCTATGGCATCACGCACCGGTTTGCTCTGAGAACCACCCGTTCGAAATAAAACACTAGCAACGACAAGGCGCCACATACTCAGCATCAGGGCTGGAGGCCGGGGCAATCTACGATTTGAGCGATGTGCGTTTGTGGTCATTGAAAGGTGGGCGTCCACAAGCGGGGGTCAGGAGGATACATTTCGGACACGCCAGTGGGCGGCGCTAACAGCGAACCTTGATGACGTTGGCAGCTCGGCGACGAAGGCGGGCGTTGAAGACTGGGTCCCAGTAGCGCCCTAGACCAACCAGCATCCTGGGGGATGACAAAGCAGGAGGCGTGAGCTTTCAGCACTGAAAGCAGCGTGACATGTTCGACCCGGCTGCAATCACAACTGGCTGCGAGGAGAGATGAAGCGTATACCGCTTGCTATGCTTGGCCGGGGGCTGACCCATGGTGGCAGCGGTCTTCTTCTCGGGCACAAATGGATATTGTAGCTCGAGCCCAAGGGCATGGCGACGGCTTTCGGAAAAGCGAGGGATGTCACGTTTGTAGATGCCCTTGAATTGCCATTGGGCATCGTCACGGTGGCGGTCCAGCTTCCATTGCACCGTGGCGTGGGGCAAAGAAGCTCGTTCGGATAAGTTGCGAGCGGCTTGTCGAGAGATGTCTAGGGTGCGGTCTGACACGCTCAAATCTTTCTCCACGCGAGCCGACTCGCCATAGCGGTTGCTCAAGTCTGGTGGGGAGTCATGTGTGTGGCGCTTGTGTTTATGATGCTTGTGTTTGTGTTTGTGTTTGCGCTTCTTGTGTGAACGCTGCTCAGCCATAGCTGTGGCTGGGTCTGCAATGGGCTCTTGGAAATTGGTCGCGGCGAGTTGGAACGAAGTGGCGCGGAGCCAAGGCTCAGCAGCAGAGGCAGCATCGCGCTCATCGTTGCTGCCAGGTTTCGTGGCTGGTTCGAGCGCGAGTGGGCTGTCGTGGCCCGCATAAGCTGCAAACAGCGGCTTTGCTGGTGGCTGGCCAGCCATATTTTGTGGTGCCCAACACACTCATGTGCTGTCACCAGCACCAGTGGCGGGGACCCAACAGGATCAGCAGGGCGCGTCAGCCAGGCGACACCAGCTCACTGCGCGATGATCCAAAACTGCACACACACGAGTTTGCGGACTTTTCCGAATTTTAATGTGATGTGATTTATCTTTTTTATCGTTTTGTAACGTTACTGTACAATTTAAATTTCACCTCGCTGTGGGTTTCACCGTGCCCGGGTCGTGAGTAGCTCATGAAGGTGAGTTGAGGATGGCGATCAGTAGAGCATGGGGTGAGAGGACCGTGCGTTGAAGCCGTTCGGGTCCTTGTTTGCTTCTTGGTTCTTGTGGCATGTGCAAATATGCAGGTGAATGGATCCTTCGGACTTGTTTCAAACACGTGTGATGGTGTACATTTCTCGGGGAAGGTGGCGTAGGTTGGTGGCATCAGCGTCGATGCTCAAAGAGGGTTGCCAAAGTTTTATTCTTCAACATTCGCGACACACATTTGCACAATTTGACAAAACAAGCACAACTTGATACAAACTATCTGTGTCCTGGAGTGGATTACAAGGGACTGGCCAATGCCACTGCATCGCAGGCGGGGGACCCTGGGTGAGGTGACCACAGCAGCAAAAGCACTCGATGGGCAAGGTGCGAGCAGTTGATGTGGGGGGTATACTCACGCTTGGGCTGAGCGCTTGGTGTTGTGGCAAAGGGACTGGCCAGAGGGCTGGCCAGCGGTGAACCACCAGGGGAATCGCCGTTGACATTGGCAAACTTGCGGCGCAAGGCCAGCAGGACCAGGTCCGCCCCATCTGCCGTGGAAAGGCGGCGACGCTGTCGGCAGGGGGTGCCTCCCTGTGGTCCACAGCAAGCAAACAGAACGTTGTGGGTGAGCGGCTTGGCGCATCTTGGGTCAGGTTCTGAGTGTTTGCGGCAAAGCGACGCCTGCAACTTGAATGTGGAGGGATGACGCATGATTTGTTGCTCAATGTCTTACAGGAGAGCGGGGAAAATCAGTACGGCGGAGGATGCTCTTGCCACTCTTGGCCACGTCTGCCAGATAGGCATTGTTGACTGGCTTCAGAGGTGTGCGCAGCTGAGGGGGCACCAGCCACCGCATGAATGAGGCAGGTGCACGAACATGATAAGCGGGTAGCTTTGAAAGCAGAGCACGCCCTTTGGCCTGGCAGCGAGGAAGTGCGCGGCAGCTTGCTCAACGTACAGCCAGCGGAGATTTGAAGCCCTCGGCCGATGGCTTGGGGAGTTGACTGGTGGTGGGAAGCGAAGGTGCAGTTTCGCGCTTGGGGCGTTTCTCTGTGGGCTCGGGGGCGGCAAAGGACGGCGGTGGGCCTGGTGGTGGCGGTGGCGGGGGCGCTGACATGGCCGGCGGAGGGGGCGGGGCGGGTATGGTTGCGGGTGGTGCGACTGCGGAGTTCTCTGACGACGGGTTGGTGCTAGATGGCTCTATGAGGAGCGTGCCAGAGTGGGCGTGGAATTAAAAGCGTGTCGAGTTTCCGTCGGGTGGGCAGGCGACTGGGGTTCTTCCATTCAGAGCAGTGGGACAAACCGCGTGACTGGTCCAGCTGATGCTTGACGCAATAGGCGCTGGCCATTTGATGCGACTCGCGAATGCAATGAAGTAAGGCGGCTTCGGTCTGGTCAAACTCAACCTAGACCAAGAAGGTTCTCGGTGAGTGGGGCAGGGTGGGGACACATGCGCGGGCAGCAGTCAAGTCATACGTGGCTTTTGAGAATATCGTTGCAGATGTGAAAAAGATCAAGAACCGCTTCGTGCTTGAGGCGAAGGTTTTCCTGCACGAGCATGGCGGGCGTTAGTTGGGTCAATCTCTTGGGGTGCCTCATCGCTGCTGGGCGGGGTCTGCAAGGCGAACCTGCTCGAGGAGCTTGGCATTGAGGACAGAGCGTGCTTGGGTCAGAGTATTCCATTCTTGGATGTGAGCGGTCAAGGTGGCATCTAAGGGTCAGGGGAGGCCGTGATCCGAGTCGGGGTCATGATTCGGTGAGGGGGCGCATTTCAGGGGTTTGTCAACTTGGTGGATGGAGTATGGCAAGTGAGGGTGGTCGCGAGGATGGGGGGGCAGGCTGTACGAACCGCCATTATCCTCTGCCGCCAGCAAAACCTGCAGCTCGGCACGACGGGTTTCAATGGCTTCGCACTGCTCAATGTCTGAGCGAGCGGTTTGCCAGGGATACTGGACTGGGGCGGTCGTCTCAGCCATGACCGCTGCTCGACAGAATAAAAGAGGAGAAGAGGACGGCTCTTTCGTATTCTGTGCGGTCAAAGCCGGAATCGAGTACACGCGGCGGCGTCAATATCCGAGGGTCAAGGTTCCCGCACACACCAAGAAGAGCTTGTGAGAATGCACCAACAACTCTTTAATAATTTTCGTGTGTGTGAGCGTGAGAAAGTGTGTGTGTCCGATCTCAAACAAGGTTGATTTGAATTTGCCCGCGAAACCTGAGCATGGGGGTCAGCGCTTAGAGCTCTAGACGCCGGCCAGGTTCGAGCCGTCTGACAAAGTCTCGAAAGCAGTGAGATCACAAGCGGCACGGGTTTTGTGGACTCGATGACGCAATCTTCCACCAGCTGTCAGCTGCAGACACCCCGCCCCCTTATGGTGTGGTCCATTGTCAGCATCTTCATCATCATCATCCGATGTTGGGGGTTGGGGTGGCATTCTGCCAATATACGCATGTATCGGCGGCTTCTCTGCTGGCACATGACTGCACGCACCAGCACATGGACAGGCTGTACCCCCCCACTCTGGGCGCGCTGCCACGGCTGCTCAATTGAGGCCGTAAGTTCCTCATGAAAGGCAGGCAGGAGCAAAGAGAAGAAAGAGGACGGGTCAGACGGTCGTCGGTCAAACGAGCACAAGGGGCCCACCAAGCCAAAGCCAAACACCCTACCTAAAATGGACCTGAAAGTGCGTCAAAACGTCACGCTCGCTACATCCATAGTCGGATGATGTGGCGCAACGTTAAGAAGAGCCAGGCCACATTCCTCAATGTCAACAAGTCAAGTGGCCGATGCGGGAGACATGCCCTGCTCGTCCCTGAACGTGCGTAAGCACGGCTGCCGCACGGTGCCCTCGGCCGACCCATCACTCTCTCGTCCAGAGCCATCTTAATCATGATCACAGGTCAACAAGGTCATTCGGCACATGACCCGAGCTTGCTGCAACCCTCGAGCATATGTATGTTTATGTGTGTGTGTGTGTGTGTGTGTGTGTGTGTGTGGACATGTATGTGTATGTGTACATGTGTGTGTGTGTGTGTGTGTAGAGAAAAAGCCCACGGAGCCCATCCTTTCTCTTTCTTTCGTGCTATCCAAGAGTCCTTTGTGCGTCGCTCCCTTTGGTCATGTTCCGTTGCGTTCTGCTTGCCAACCTCTCACCTCTCAGTGTTATTCGGCGCCTCCCTTCTTTGGATGTGGTGTTGCCCTGTTCTTTCTCACCTCATCCCCCCCTCTCTCTCCTGTCTGGACTGGCTCGGTCTTTTCCTCTTGCACACTTACTTTTTGAAGCACTCGACGGCATTGATCGGCTTCAAACACTCGACGGCCCAAACGAGAGCGTTTGTTCATTAAATTTTTGTCATTTTACTGCTCGTTGTTTGTGGCTTCCATCCTGGTCGCCTGCCCAGGGCTTCACGCGCTCTCCACATTGGCCGACGCATTGATTCCATCACCCCGCTCGATGCTCGACCCGAGCCATCAAACCATGAACACCAGTCCATCCCCGAGCCACAGCCCGGACACGGGTCGAAGACACCGTCACTTCAAGCTCCTGAAGCGCCACAGCCCCTCTCTACCAACGCTTCGGTTCCGCTCAGGTTCGCTCAATGGTCGCCTTGAAACTAGCCTGACCGACACCGGCACCGCCAGCACCAGCACCAGTGCCAAAGCGCCCCTTTTTGGAATCCATCGCGGAGGCAGCACTGGCAAACGCATGCGCGCTGCCGCCTCGCTGGAGATGCTCGCGTCCAAGCCCGTCGATCCCGACGATGCCCCCCTTCCCGCTATCCCGCGCGTCGTTGTACGCAATCCAGACACCATGCAATCACTGCAAGTCAGCCTCGACCAGCAGAAGCCCCCCGCCGATTCCGAGAGCATCCGGTCCGCCCCCGCCTGCCTGCTGGGCTCTTACATCGTCGAGCCTCGGGATGGAGGTCAAGCACACAGCAAATCGCGCTGTATCTGGGTTCGGGAACATACCCTTGAGCTAGCCCAAAGTGCTCTGCTTCTCGTGCTTGTGGCCGCCCTCCTCCTCCTTGCCATTTATGCCCTGACCATGGCCCGACATTACGCGCCTGCCCTCCCGGCCTTGGACCTTTGATTGCTCTGCGCACTTACGACCCCTCTCCCTCTTTCTCTCTCACCCAACCACATCATTTTTCCTGGCGCTGTGCGCCCCAGTCATGGGACTGGCACGCAAGCCTGTCGCTACTACGTGTGCGTACACAGACAGGGGTCACGTGACCCCCTGCTGGTCCCGCTTGACTAAAAGCCTGGCTGATCTCAACTGATGATCTGGTCGAGGCATCTTGTGTCTCCCACCTTTTTTTTTAAAAAAGACTTAGTTTTCTTCTTGTCTGGACCTGTTGCTTCCCCCCCCCCCCTCTTTTTTTTACATGAACGCCATTTTCCCGGCATGGGATCAGGAGACTTTCGCCACTGTGTGGCAGTTTTTCTGTTTTTGCTTCCCTTTGGTATCGATCCGAGTTTTCGTTAGTATATGATAGTCATAGTCACGCCCTGTCACCAATCCCATTGCCTGACGGGCGCTGGGTCTACATGTGTCTTATGTCTTCTGCACACATCCCGGCCCGACCGCACAATTCTAAATCTTGCTTCGTATTCCTGTGTCATCTTCAAACGCCGTGCCCCCCTCCGTGCAGTGCTGTACAAACTACGATCCGCTGTTGTGAAAGAGAGCGGTTCACAGCAGTAACGTGCGTAAATCATTAACATGTAAATTCTCTAAGCCATGGCCCGGGACACGTTGAGCCACCGCTGCCAATATCGCACAACGGGCAGACGCAACTGCCAGAATGGTAGTATGAACACGAGCATGATCATGGTCATGGGATCTTGCAAAGGCTCGCTGGAATCAATCCCACTTGTCGCCAAAGTGATCTTCCTTGATCGTCGCGTTCATCGTATTGACCAGCTCGCCCTTGTCGCGCGTTTGTGCTGACATTAAGATGTGTTGCACCTAGACATTGGTAGCAGCCCGACCCAAATCCAACCGCCGCCAGAAGAGAAAGGGGAAGAAAGCAAGTACGGACAAATGCCAAAGTTCTCATTGTGAGCACCCGGGCCGCTCAGCATCACGACGCCACGTAAACAACATGCCCAGCGCCCATGACAGGTGTAAAACTGACCACGCCGATGCGCAGGTCCATTTCGCTAATCTCCTTCCGTAGCTTGTTCAACGCAGTTTTGATGTTGCGGAGTGGACTGGTGTCCGTCATGCTGTTACCTCGCTCATCCATCTGCACATTCATGTCAAGCATCCACCTCATCTTAGTCATGCTGGAAAGTCGCCCTGACAGTTTTTTTGCCTGCCACATTTTTTCGCTCGGTTTCGGGTTTATATCAGCTCGTGTGCCAGCGAGTCAAGATCGTACCTGTGTTTTAACCGCGTCCAGTTCCTCAGTCACCGAGGCCAGCTGTCGTGATAGGTCGGTTACCGTCACCGATGCCTCCTTGTACTTGGAGGACGTTGCGGAGAACGTATCCTGAGCTGTGCGGTACTCGTGGATGAGACTGTCAAGCTGCGTGTTGACATAGCGTTCACGACTCGCAATCTTCTCCAGCACCTTGGACACGTCCCCTTGCAGCTTGGTCAAATGCGCCTGCCCGTCGCCAGAAAACACCCATGGCATGGGTGAGGGCCTCGAGGGCACCGGGCTGCGCGCGAGCAAGCAGTGGTGGTGCATGGCCTCAAACCTTGGTATCCGTCAGAGCCTGTTCAATCTCTGTACGATTATCGGCCATTTCCTGGAGATGATTGCGCCAATCCTTGGCTTCGGCGCGCAACTGCACCTTGAGCTGTGGCAAGACGCGCTCCACCTCCAACTTCCACTCGGCAGAGGTGGTTGAGGATTCCAACACCGCCGCCTTGGTCTCCGCCTGTCATCAGCATTTGTGAGGCAATCCATCAATCACACGCTAAATCGGCATCTACACACGAAGACTTTTGTGAAGCAAGGTGCACGAGGAGCGCCAACGCACCATGGGTCCGTCATTTACATCAATGAAATCTTCCTCCATGTCAAAGTCCTCTTCCTCCTAATCGCCCCACGAAGTCACCCAACACGACGAAAGACGGCGATATCAACAGTTGGCGCCTAGCAGGTAAGCATCGCGTGCAAGGTCCTTGTTCATCTGAGCAAGACCAAGGCAGTGGCACGTACAATCTCTTCGTCGTCTTGCACGGCCGCGGCCGTCATTTCCATATCCGTTACTTCCTCCACAGCGTCCTGCAGGGCATCATCTCGATGGACGGGCCTGATCGGGTTCATACCGCACAATCAAACCCATTCGGCAAGGGGAGAAGAGGGGAAACGAAAGAAGAGAAGAGCGGGTTGAGTTGAGTTGCAGCAGAGAGGCTGGAACCAGTCAATAGCAAAGTTATGGCAAATCGAACGAACTTTTCCCAGCGCCAACGCTTGGCCTTGAGTGCTTGCTGGGCAAGGTTATTAAGGATCTGGCAGATTTCTGGGCCATACCCGGGCTTGAGCCGACTCTGCTGAAAATCTGTTGGCATGCCCTGTTGGCGGTAACCCGGGTCCAGTCAACACCCACCTTTTGATGAGATGATGCTACCTCAAAAAACGATTAGACGAAGCCCACAGAACAAACCTGCTTGCGCAACTCAATCATGATGCCACTGATGATCGCGTTGGGGTCATCATACTGGGCGTGCAACCAGCAGGCACAGGGCAGAGGGTTTATGAGCAACCGGGCACACAGCTCATCTGACACGCACGCAAAGAGTTGGACAGGCTGCTCCGACACGCCAAAACGACGAGGTCGAGCATTCAAGCTGATCAACAACTTTGGGTGGTTGTGGTGCGCCAGTGATGGTGGGCGATACGCACCACGTCTGGCTGTGGATAGTTTTGGCCGCAGAGCTCCAACAGCCAGGACACGAGCGCAGCAAAAGTCCAGAGTTGCTCGTTCGAATTGACACTCACAGCAAAATAGTGCCTGGGTGCCAGGGGCCAAGCCAAGCCAAGCCAGAGCGGATGTACAAATGGAGTCATGAAACAATGTGATGGAGTACGTTCCGGATTGGGAAAGCAGGCTATGGCCATGCTATCGGCGCATCGGGACCATACCGAGGGAAGGGGGGAACTTTGCGGGCTTTGAGGAAGTGCTCGTCATAATCAAGCAGCTTGAGCTTGTCTGTGAGGTTCTCAGCCAAAATGAAGGTGCCGTAGGGGTTGGGCGCCTCATCTTCTTGATTACGTGGCTGCAAGCATCGATCAGGGTCCAAGGGGTAGATGACATGAGCGACCAATCCGACGCTTGGTTTGACCATGAGAGGTGAGGAGGTGCCAAGCTCAGGTGAGCGGTAAAAGGGCGGAGAGACTGACGGTATCACCCATGACGGTCTGGTTGCAGCCTTAAGGCTCGCGTCCGCGCCAGGAATCAAAGCTTCCCCTCAATCCTTGAAAAGTTGGCCACGTTGTTTGCCACGTCAAGGGCTAGACGGTCGTCGTTCAGGCCCGTCGCCAGCAGCAACACGCGCTCTCGCCTCCCGAAATCGAGACGACGACCACAACTCGAAACTTTTTGCACACAAGAAAAATTTGGCGCAGCAACACACCAACAAGGGAAAAGCGGGAGGGACGAAAACATCAAAAACAGCGACAAAAGATCATGGCGTTTGCAACGGCTCTATAACGATGGACCATTTAGAAACGTCGATAACATCAATAAACGCATCATAAACAGCCAGCAAAGCAGGTTAGCAACCAACGACAAAAGCGCTGTTGACCGTGTACCGGAACAGTTGGTAGCAACAACTCGGCAACTCATTTGTCTGACAAACACATGCTGACATTATTGGAGCGGAAAATGTCATCTTTTTCGGGTTGCTCGTCAAAAGCGGTTTGCGTCCGTTTTTTTTTTTTTTTCTCTTCTTCTTTGAGAGGGAGCGTGACATGTGCGATGATGGCACAGCGCCCGCACGGGCTCAAGCTCTCTCGTGGTCAGCGTCGGGCGGAGCCGCATGGTGGTGTGGGGGGACCACCGCTGACGGTGCGAGATCAAGAGCCCATTCTGATTGTCGATGAGGATGAAGATGGTGGTGATGATGCCGGGTCGGCGGGTGGCTTGGGTGGGAGCACGGCGATGGCTCGTGCTCGCGCCAAGCGCCCCGCGGCGATGCAGGCGGCTCGGCGAGGTCCAGGCGTTTCTGAGCCCCCGCCTCAGCGATCCCGCAGTGCACCCAGCTCGCAATCGGCTCATGGATCCTTGCCACGACCCACACCAGTCCAAGCAGCGACATCGCTCACGCACATTCCCACCCCGTCCTCGGGGACAGCAGCGACAATAACCACGACCCCGCTGCGCCGGCGACGGGCCTCGGTGGCTGAGATGCTGCGCTCCAAGGAGCGACCCGGGCGCTTACCAGCGTGTCCATCCTGCGGCGTCCACATGCACTTGACTGCGCTACATCGTCACCTTGATGCCTGTCTATCCAAACACGCGACACCGCCTCGACCCGCCACGCCCCCGCCCTCGGCCACTCCCATCAATTGGGCACCGCAAACCATCCTGTATTCCCCCGACACCTGTGCCCGCCTCACCCGACAGCGCCCGCCACTCGCCGCGTGTCTGACACCGCAACGCCTTGACTTTGCTACAGAGGACCGCGAGCCAGCGACTACGCCTGACTCTAGCGCTTCTCAGGAGATACGGCAGCCGCCTGCCAGTCCCAGCGAGCTCGCCGAACGTGCGAGCGCTTGCTTCCTTTGCGGCGAACCCACCCATTTTGCGCGCGTGTGTCCCCAAGGCCCATACTATGTTTATTATTTTTGTCGCGAAGTCTCGGCCGTTCTCCAGCACTCTTACTTTTGCACGCTCTTCACGCCTGCGGAGCGAGCTCAACTCGAGGCCATCTGTGCACTTCCACGTCCTGAACTCTGCCTGCTTGTTCGCCTCTATAATCGCAGTCCGCGATGGTTTGCTGCAACCACGCTCCGCTATCCCGAGGTAACACTTTGGTTCTTGCTTCTGCTGTCATAAACATATCCCCGTCCACTCCTCGATCGAGGCTCGCGGGCCAGGTGGCCGCCGGACCTGCATGGCGCGCTCACCCACACTTGCGTTGGGCAAATCAAATAGATTGCCGAGGACGTGCAACCCATTCTTGCCAGGCTGGTCCAAGCCGGGGCCATGATCGATGCACAACATCTCGATGACCCGCAGGCAGCGCTGGAGTTGCTGAATGCCCAGCAACTCATAGAACTGCGCCGACGCTTACACCTCGACAAAGTTGATCTGGGCACTGGACGCCGCGACGTAATGACCAATTTGCTGCGAGCAGCCGCGGCTCAGTCGACTCTGGCAGGTCCCGCCGGCCCCGCGCTTGTTTTACGCCGTGCAAAGCGCTTGCTGGGCTCCTGCTACGCCCTGGAGCCTCGTGTCCGTCAACTGCTAGAGCTTTGCACCATCCTCTTTCACCACAAGACGCATTGGAGCGATGCCGGGCCCTATGTGCAAATGCAGGCCGATCGGGGTGTGTGCCGCTATCCAGCATACATCATTACCACTACAAAACCTGCGTTCGCCTCGCGCAGCCAGCTCGAAGACTATGGCCAGGCCCTGGCTCTTGAGCGTCAACTAGAGCGCACCTGGGAGCGGTTTGACAGTGCTGCTGTTTTACAACACTTGGCCCCAACGGTGGCCGCGCTTGAGCGCTGTCTCGCCACTAGTACGAGCACGGATTCGGGCCCACCCCGGCCCGCATCTTCCTCCAGTTTGACCCCAGCCACAGACTCATTGTCGTTGACGAGTCCGGGGCCAGGGCTTTTGTCGGACGAGGCCGCTGCTACCGTTCACACGCGGTTTGAGCCTGGGTGCGTCTACGCGCGTCTTGTGTCACTCTGCGTCGAAGCGCTCGAGAAAGAACATCGCTATGATGAAGCAGGTTAGACTTGCTTTTTGCACTGCTTTCCGCGCACGTGGCTGGCCCTGCCGCCCCCTCAGGTGCATGCACTGCATCGCTCAGCCCGCTTCTGGCATATTCTCACATCTGTTCATGTCGGGATGTTTGCCTGCTTTGCATGGAAATTCGGCCAGTGTCGCTGCTGGAAAAGCTGCTAGCCCAGCGGCGATGGCTATTGGACCGTCGCGGACGGTGGTACGATCAGCTAGCCCTGCATCATCATGTTCATTCTCAGCAGCCCGAACGTGCTTTGCAAATCTGTTTTGCAGGATACCAGGACCCTTTTGTCCGCACCGGGCACAAGGTGGGATATTGACCTGCTTGCTGGAGGGCACCATGACGCTCGCTGTGGCATCCCTTTGGGTCTGGTTTCTTCTCGTCCCTTTGAGACCTCTCTCCTGTTGGGGTGTTCAAATAGCTGTCTCTGCTGCGCCGAGCAACGCGGCTTTGCAAGCACAAAGAGCACGAATCTCTTCACAAACATTTGAGCAAGCTTCCTGACATAGCCTTGAACTTGGGCGAGACGCTGGTTATTCATGGCCAGGCCATGAGCGATCGTGAGGTTGGCCGACGGATGAACTTTCTCTACAACCATCAAGCTTGCAGCGTCGAGGATCTCGTGCTCTTGCATGCTGCCGAGAGGGGATGGTGCGTGACACCTTTTTGGCGCTGTGCAACAGGTGACCGCTTATAGACGAACCATGTCAAGCGAACCGACAAGGTTTTCACACACACGCACTTTTCTGCCTGGCGCTCCCGCTGCTCACACCCACAGGAAGGGATCTCATTGCGAGGGCCGCTACCTCGCCATGCTCTTTACTCTATTGCTCTGGGATTTGCTGTTCAGGTCAGAGCCGGCGTGATGGTATGGCCTTTCTCAAGTTGTTTTCGTTGGGCCTGTGTTCGTGTAATTCCACTTTCTGATGTCAAGCGTACGCAGCGCACAGCCCGACGTCTTTGTGACGCCATACCAGATTGCACCTCTGGATCTCCACAGCGATGGATTTTATGCGCGGCGAGCCACAGCGCTGCGCCTTCGGCTCTCCCAGCTTTCCTATGCCGATCTAGGACATGAACTGACCAAGGTATGCATGGCAGGGCGCCTAACACACACACACACACATGTGTGTGTGTGTGTGTGTGTGTGTTGGGGATAAACATGTTCAAGTTTGGCCAGTTTCTGTCTGCTCAACACAGCACGTTGCGGCAGGCATGGAACGAACATCACGGCACCACGGCCGTAGGTGTCCATTGGGATCTAATGTCCTTGAGCGAGCTCGTGGAATCGGCACGCTGCATTGGTGGGTGAGCAACAAGTCTGAGCTCCTTACGCTGGCGATTCGGGATTGAATCCCACTAATTGCTCACTTACAAAGCACAACGATTGTGGCCGTGTGCTTTCTCTCATAGGCAATGAGGTGGTGTGCCGAATGTTGGACTTGCTGGCTCAAGACTATCGTCATCGCACGGGTGGCCTCCCAGATTTATTGCTCTGGCGCGCCGAGTACGATGCGGGTGCGTTGGTCAAACAATAACATATCGCAGGCACTCTTTGTTCTTGCGGCACAGCTGACTCTTAGCATGGAGCTGTGTACCAGAGCAACGGATGTGCAGGCTAAACTTTAACACACTGGGCGCTTGGGCTTGCAGATGGGCACTTGACGTCTGGTCAGGCAAGATTCGTTGAAGTTAAGAGTCCCAATGACCGCTTGTCTGACAAGCAGCAAATATGGCTGCATGTCTTGCAGGAAGTAGGGGCTGCTGCTGGCGTGTGCCACGTTAAGGTGACGGGTGCCAAGGCTGAGCAACTGGCTCCTCCCTCCTCGCCATCCTCGTCGTAGTTGGAGAAGATTAAATTTCATTCGAGAGCTTTGCCTTTAGCAATTTCTTCAAGCTTTTCACGCGTCTTGTGCCTTGTCGTTGCTGCCGGTGGCATGTCGGCAGACACGTGCATGTTGACCAGGCCATTGAAACCGATAATAATAAATGGGGAGAAAATCAATTCGCCAGAAGACAGGTTCAGCGTTCAGTCAAAGCGACGAAAAAGGGTTCAAACCAGAGCTAGGCATTCAACAAGCCGAAGAGGACTGGCTTGGTCCAAGCAGAAACTGAAGGGTACTGACATGGGGGCTCTGAGTCGGAGCGCGCATGACGAAAACCAGATAGAAAAAGCCAAAAACAACGACAAAACAAAGAGATTGAGAGGTCCACCGAGAGGGGCCAAGGGAGTGGTGACAACAAGGCTTGAAACATAATCAAGCACACACACCAGACCCGAACACTTGCCATATCAAGCGAGATGAGCGCCAGACACGAGCTCAACTGATGAATTCGAGGCTCTGAGCTGTCTCGCTCGGGTGGGGATCAGACGGAAATTTTTCGTGACAAAAAAAAAATGAAGCAAGGGGAAATGCTAGAGACACAGCGCACTAACGTATTTGAAAACGAGAACAAGGTTGTACAAAAACAAAGAAACAGCCCCGGGACGCAGTCCCACGAAGACGAGGCCCGGCAAAAAGCCGACATCAACAGCAGTGGCCGTGTTGAGGTCGTAGGCATCGACTGCGGCAAAAAAAGGCGGGGGCATGGCCAATGCGCTGGTCAATTTGACGCTCATGCTTCGTTGGCTGCTTGTTGGGCCTTGCGCTTGGCGGCAGCAGCGGCCTTCTCGCGTAGAAGACGCTTGGAAACTGCAGAAAGCCAGGCCCGGTCGAGTGAATGAGGAGGAAGTGTGAGCAATGTTGAAAAGCAGTCTGACAGGCCATGGAAGTCTGACAGGCCATGGAAGTCTGACTCGGTGATTATGGGCGGAGCACGCTGTGAGTGTAGACGTACCGGCAGGCGATTTGATGAGGTCGAAGTTCTTCTCGATGTGGTCGCGCTCCTTGACAAGTGACAGGTTGCGACCGGCCCGCAAGCTAAAAGACCAGAAGCATGGGTGGTGCGAGAGGCAAGCAAGAATGGGATGAGCATGCACGCAGACTGGATGGCAAATGGGAAAGGAAAGCAAAAGCAAAAGAGAGAAAGACAAAGCGCGGCGACGAGCGATGGATCGCAAGACACACCGGTTCTTGATGAACTGGCCCTCGCGACGTTGGCGAATCTCGCCAATGCGCTTCATTGCCTTGACTACACCGGGGGAAGAATGATTGGCAATGGAGCAGATTCAGGCAGTGAGTCGCTGATGAGCGTTTGGCAGGGATTGAGCACGAGCCATGGCGACGATGGAAGCAAGACGTACCTGTGTTTTGCCAGAGCTCACGGTCATACTTGACAGGGACGTTGCGCTTCTTCTCAAACTCGTAGACCGAGTCCTATCGAGATGACGGTTCAGGATGAGTGTGGCAGTCAATTGAAGAGGCGACAAGAAAGTCAAGAAGATCAACAATATTAATATTGATATGCACCAGCGTCGTGGGACCCAAGGTACGTACCAGCGTGAGCTCCTTGCCGGCAGCCTTACGGAAAGCCTTGGTCCAGCGAACCTTGCGAGGGTTGCGTTTCTTCTTGAAGTTCTTGTGGCATTTGGAGCGACAAAAGCGGAAGATCTTAGAGTCGTTGCGCACAAACTGGATGCCGTGACCCGGGTACACGGTCGACGAGCAGAAATAGCATTTTTCTGGACACGCGGCAGATAGATGGCAACGTGGAGAGCAATTTTTTTTAAAAAAAACAAGAGAGCGCGTGAGTCAGAGCAAATCACGTCGTATCAAGATAGGCGGGGTGTATCCAACGCCATGGACCAGGATCGTATCGGGGCCAAAGGCAGCGGCACGGTATGAGGCCGAATTGAATCGTCGACCATGTGGTAAGCGGTCCACGTACCAAGACGCATGGCTGCAGGTTGGCTGACACCACCTCCTCAAGCAAACTGGTCAATGACCGCATGAGCACGCGCTCTCTTGTTGTTGGATTCGGCTTGCAAGCCAAAATAAATCTGACAATTGGCTTCGAGGTGTGTGTGTGTGTGTGTGTGTGTGTGTGTGTGTGTGTGTGTGTGTGTGTGTGTGTGTGTGTGTGTGTGTGTGTGTGTGTGTGTGTGTGTGATGGAGACCAAAGTGCGAACAAGACGTGGGCGGATGGATATGGCGAGAATTGGGCCTTTAAAAAATGCGATTGCCTGTTAAAATAGTTGGTTGGTCGAATGCTTACGTCAACCAGATAGAGACAAGGCAGCGGCCGACAGGCAGCCGAGTCCCATCAACCAACTGGACTGGTCCCGATCAGCAAAAGGGAATGTACCCTCCAAGCGGAATGGATGAAGACATAGGATAAGCAAGAGGCGGCGACATGGACTAGACTATCGACAAGAAGAAGCACGCTCCTCCCATACCCAAGCAGGCGGATTCCACAAGGATGGGGACAGGGGAAGAACATGATCACTTGGAGATTTTGAGCTTGCCCATCATGCGCAGGTAGGTTTCAGACGAGTAAAAGTCGCTGTCCACCTCCCCTTCCGTGGAGAGGGTCACAAAAACGTGTCCATCCCGAGCCTCAACCTTGTGGCACCGCTGCTTGATGCCCTTGGTCTCAAAGTTGCCACAGGAACTGCGACGGGATGACACCACGGCTTGGTGCAAGCCTTCCCCGGTAGCCAGATCAATCAAGAAATGATGCATGGGGCATTGAATGCAAGTGCGCCCATCAAAATCCTCAATGTCTCCCGCGTCCAGAGGACCACCTGCACCCCAGAATCATTTGGAGCGTCAGGATTAGCGTGGCTCTGCACGACATGCTGTACAAGATCCCTTGGACAATGGGGCCCAGCGAACGGACAGGCAGCATAAAAGAAAGACTGGCAGGCGAATGGCATGTGCGTACCGGCGTGATAGCAATGAGCATCGACTGCATACCACTTGTCCATGTCGTTAAAGACGGCCACCTCACGGTCACCGAGCTCGAAACGCCGACCTTTGCGAAACTTAAAGTCCGTCACTGCGCCCAGGTCGAAGGTGCCATCTGCCTGGGGCTTGATTGTCGGGGTCTTCTTGGCACGAGGTTGAAACACGGACATGGCGAGCGGAGGCACTTGATATGTGCCTAGAAATGGGAGCAAGGCCAACAGCAAGTAGACACGAAGGTGAGTTGACAGGTGGCAGGGTGGGCGAGCACAGGTCAGGCGCTTGTTGTTCTTGTACGCGTGGACAAAAATTAAAAGAGGAGCCAGCGAGGGCAACAGAAGCAAGAGACCAGAAAGAGCACAGAGTGCGGCAGAGAAAACACCAGGAAGGAATCCCGAGCAGTCGGGCTAGGCTGTTCAACGGTGCGGTGACGACCGACCCATGCTTGCCTGCTCACCTGAGATAATTTGGAGCAGATGATGATCCAAAAAATGGGGGAAAATAACAACAATGTCCAATGGATAATTGGCGCTGCTGTCACAACAACCCGGCAAAGGGCAAGATTGCACCTGAAGCACCAAGACCGCAAAAGGCTCTGCTCAGCTCGGCGGGCAAGAGAGAAAAAAAAATGGCAAGAGGAAGTAAGATCCCTGACCGAACCAACACACACACACACACAAAGACACAAAAGGACGGAGATGAGTGGACAGTCGTGAATCAAGCGCATGGGCGAAGGTGGGCGGATGGGAGGAGCAGTCAAATCGCAGAAGCGGCAAGTCATGGCTGTACGTTGGCATCGACATCTGCCTTGCCATCCACCCACGATGGCGTCATGCTCATGGCCCCCAGCGGCTCGACCCTGGCCCCAACGGCGCAACCCTGTCCCCAACACGGGTCCATGCTACAGCCAACCCACCACACGACACGACAAAGGCCAGGACACCGAACACAGGACAGCACCTTGCAGAAGCAATGGTTCGTCTGACAATACACAACAACGCACGTACTTGACACCAAATGTCAGACTAAAAATCCAGAACTACTCACTGTGTTCGCGCATTCAAACGTTCACTTTTGTCAGCAAAAAAGCGTCACTTGAATTTTGCGATTTTTTTTTTTTTTTTTTCGGATGTGCGGTTGCCCCACTGCCTCGTTCCCTTTGCCGTCCCTGCTTGAGATTGATTGGGTCGATACGGGATCGCCGCGTGCCGGCGCTAGACAGCTGCAGGTGGACAATGGCTCGAGTGGGTGAGATTGGCGAGGGCACTTTTCTGCTGGTCTTGCTCTGGTCCATCGTCCTCATCGTTGCCGTCATCAGCCGTGGCTGCAATCGTCCCAGGTACCCAGCCAAACCCGGTGGCGCCCGTCTAATCATGGCTGCCACCACGTGCTTGACACGTACCTCCCCCCCGCCTTCTTTAGCGCGTCATTATCATCTTGCGCTGGTTCTGTCGTATCTTGTCACGCCTGCCATCTAGGCTCATCACGGGGGCGGCTGCCTTATTGGCCGCCTTGATTACTGGAATACTCCTGGCAATCCCACGCAGTGCAGCCGGCAACAAGCCGCAACCCATTGATACCACGGTCTGGCCTCAGCCCATGACATGGCTTGTGCTGACTCTTTGCCCCTCTCGTGGATCAGAGTGCTCCCTCATACGCGCGTAAATCTCTGCTCACACCACTACCTTTGCGCTGCACTGTCAGATCGAGGACGTGTACGGCATTGTGCGCTGGAGCCTGGTGTCCATCTTGGCCCTCTTGGTTTTGGCCTCGGGCATCCTGACCCTGGTTTTGGCTTGGACACGACCAGTCCGGGCCATCAACGATCCCAGCCGTTGGTAGTCCCCC